ATCGAATAGTTACGGTTCACGACTCCCCCAAAACGGCGATCTGTATGCGCCTTGTTAATGCTGCAACAAGCGATTCCGACTGTAGGAATTTTGCACAAAAAACCAACCATACGTTGTGTGCCAAAATGAAGCATAAAAGGCCATTCCTTGATCTGAGAGTCTCTAGACTCGGGTGGGCGTATGACGATTCCTGAAACATGCGAAAGCTAGCTACGAAAAACAAGCGAGACGACTGCGTGTGGTAACGTGAACAGAGCAATGTTATTAACAGAGTATTTTTTTTGTGAAGGCCAGTGAGTTCGTTTTGGAATAACATGTTTAAGGTCGTTTAAGTTAAAATAAAAGATGTTGGTGGAACATATTTTTGGAAAAATCTGCAGATGAAACTTGGACTCAAATTTACTTACATCTTAATACCACAAATGAATAAATATAAATAACTTTAGTTTAAGAATTCACCTTGTAAATATATTCTTGATCAGGAGCCGTCGGAAACTATAAAAGCTTAAGATTTGGGGGGTGAGGGTGCTGCACGCTTTTAGCTCTAGTGTTGGCTATGCAGTTCGACAGATGGCGCCACCTGAACTTCGATTATTTTGTGGGGGGATTACTTACTTTGAAGTGTGTTGATTGAGAAAAGGGTTAAGGGAAAACCGACTAAAGTGTGCTTTTTATACCCTTGCAGAGGGTATTATAATTTCATTCAGAAGTTTGCAACTCAGTAAAGGAGACATCTCCGACCCTATAAAGTATATATATTCTTGACCAGCATCACAAGGAGAGTCGATCTAGCCATGTCCGTCTGTCCGTCTATCCGTCTGTCCTTCCGTCCGTCCGTCTGTCTCGCCGTTTCTACGCAAACTAGTCTCTCTGTTGTAAAGCATGAAATTTTCCCAAAAATATATTCCTGATCAGCATCACTAGGATTGTCGGTCTAGCCATATCCGTCCGTTTCTTTGCAAACTAGTCTCTAAGATTTAAAACTATCTCCATGAAACTTTCTTAAAAGTTGTCTTTATATTGCAGGTAGTATAAAAGTCGGAACGAGCCGGATCGGACGACTATAGCATATAGCTACCATAGGAACAATCGGAAAAATAAATTTAAAAAAATTATAACTTTGCTGTTCAGAAGGAACTCAAATAATTGAGCTGCAAATCATCATAGCTTCAATGCTTTTAAACATACACGCAAGTAAATCATAATTTAATGTTTTCAAGAATATTTGATTTTTGCAATAGCTGCAAGGGTATATGACTACGGCTTGCCGAAGTTTGCTTTCTTTCTTGTTTTTGTTGTTGTCAACCCAAAAAGTCAAATAGTTCAATGAAAATCGGACCATCGAGGCTTAGGTGGCTCACTTGGCAGATGTTCACTGCTTACTAAATTTGATTAAATTTGTTTCTAAAGTCGCCTAAAGTTGTAACCCAAAGTTGAAATTGCTGCTGTAAGCATTTGTCATATCTTAGCATAATATTCATAAACCGTAAAATAAACCGTTTATGTTACAAACTCTACATATATTTCCAATGGTAAACAAATTGCGGATGTGCTTACAAAACCGTTATCAACGTAACGTTTTTGCGATTTACGAAATAAAGGGAACCTGATGGATTAAAAAATAAATTAAAATGGATCACAAAAAAAATCTTTTCTACCATTAAAGTATTAATATTTTGAATTGAACAAAATATTTTTAGTTTTTAATTTGAATATTAATATTTTGAATTGAACAAATTATTTATAATTTTGAACTGCTAATAAATATTAAATATTAAATAGTTACTTATTTAATTATACCCTTGCAGGGGGTATTATAATTTCAGTCAGAAGTTTGCAACGCAGTGAAGGAGACATCTCCGACCCTATAAAGTATATATATTCTTGATCAGCATCACTAGGCGAGTCGATCTAGCCATGTCCGTCTGTCCGTCCGTCTGTCCGTCTGTCCGTCCGTCTGTCCGTCTGTCCGTCCGTTTATATGCAAACTAGTCTCTCAGTTTTAAAGCTATCTGCATGAAACTTTCCCAAAAGTTGTCTTTCTATTGCAGGTAGTATATAAGTCGGAACGAGCCGGATCGGACGACTATAGCATATAGCTCCCATAGGAACAATCGGAACAATAAATGAAAAAAATTATAACTTTGCTGTTTTTTAATTTTTTGTTTAGTTCTTCGACATTTAGTAATGGTTAAATATTTCCGATTTACGGTTTAAATTTCATAAAAATCAGACGACTATAGCATATAGCTCCCATAGGAACAATCGGAAAAATAAATGAAAAAAAATTATAACTTTTCTGTTTTTTATTTTTTTGTTTAGTTCTTCGACATTAAGTATTGGTTAAGTATTTCCGATTTACGGTTTAAATTTAATCAAAATCGGACGACTATAGCATATAGCTCCCATAGGAACAATCGGAAAAATAAATGAAAAAAAATTATAACTTTTCTGTTTCTTAATTGTTTGTTTAGTTCTTCGACATATAGCAATGGTTAAATATTTCAGAATTATGGTTTAAATTTTATCAAAATCGGACGACTATATAATATAGCTCCCATAGAAATAATAAAAATATATAAAATAACTATCAAATAATTAAGCTGCAAATCTTCATAGCTTCAATGTTTTTGAACATATAAGAAAGTAAATCATAATTTTAAAGTTTTCAAAAATGTTTAATTCTTGCAATAGCTGCAAGGGTATATGAACTTCGACTTGCCGAAGTTTGCTTGCTTTCTTGTTTTAATTTAAAATTGGTCTGGTTGAGGTGTTCTCGGTTCTCCCTTAATCCGAATAACAAATGTTGGACCTTATTGTAATTTTTCAGAGCCTGTCTTGTCATTCAACTTAGTTTTAATATTAATGTATAAATAAAAGCCCGATTCCATTGGCGCATTAAAACTCATTGAGTCTATTTATTTATTTACACATAAGACTAAATGCAGCATTAAAAATGTTTTACATTTAAATCCTGGTGCCGTTTGAAATTGGGTGCAAACTTAAATACATACAATTTTTTGCAGGCTACTAAGCTATATTAAAATGTGCATACGTTTCTAAAAAGGATTTACAATAAGTTAAAATATATTTTAATTATACAAGTCAAAAAATAAATTTTTCAAGACTTGTTAAAGGGTGCTATGACTTTTTAAAAAGGGCAGAAAAAATATTAGTCGATAATGCCCAAATTTATAGATTTTAATGATATTCTTATAGATACTGTTTAAACCGAATTTACAACCCTAGAAAAAAAATGTGTTTCCATTGAAGTAATATTTTTTAAAGGCACGATGAGATAGGAAAAATTGTGAAAAATAAGAGATTCCAAATACATGATCAATGGTTCGAGCCTGAGACATTTTTTCTAGTGCGGGGTTGTACGGAGATTGCTTTCCAGCAAAAAATAATTTGGTGATACCAGTTGATTGAGCTACACAATTAACAAAACGTCAAACATTGGATTATCGTATTCTTAGCTCTACCGCGAAACCCTTAGCCGATGGAGCATAAGTTTGTATTGGACTTTTACTCGGGGGTACTCAATTATGGAAACGTACAATTGGTTCGTGGAAATTTCAAAAAGTTTCATTTTGTGTTCCTGTGTACTTAACGATATTTCCCCTGTAGTACTGAAATTCCCTTCCCTGCCTTTTCCTGGCCGGCATGTTCGAAAAACAAAAACAAATCACATTGGCTTCATCTAGCGAAGTTCAAAACAATGCAGGCTGACAAAATTCTGTCGGCATTTCTGCCACTGCCGAAGTTCGAAATTTTTTGTTGTTGTTTATTTCGAAGTAATTCGGAGCCGCGACTGAAAAAGGGAGAGGGTTGGACGGAGAGAAAACTGAGAAAAAAATCAAAATGTCAAGAACAAAAGGAACTGTGTAGACTTTTGAATACCCTTTTTTAGAAGCGCTAGTATATTTATTAATTTTTAAGATGATATATAACTTTTTGGAAGTTATTGTAAAGTTGCAATATACGCCAAAATGTTAATATTTGGTTATCTGCCTTATGTGATTTTAACTACAAGGCATTGTTATGGTCGGATATACCCTGGCACGCGTCAGGCAGAAATTTCGGTTTCGTTTTTCGTTCTCCCCATTCCCATTGCACTTGAATTCGACTGCAACAGAGTGAGGAAGTGTTTTTAAAAGTGAAAATTTTAGGCAGATATTAATTAATCAGGTAAGTGCATAAATTCCTTCTCGATTCCTCCCAATCTTCGAATTACTCGCCGGGAAGGCCTGCTTCATACAAATTCCTTTCCGTTTTGTATGGAAAATTCCCCGGGATTCTTAAGGAATTCTTGGCGGCGCCCGGGGGATTACTTAGGGAATCTTTAGGGATTGGAACTGCAGGGTCGCTAGTGCTACCACTACAACAGCTGGTTTGTTACGCAAGTTTAGCCCATTTGATTTTTTTTAATAAACACCATCAGCTCCGCATCCTTATCGCCCAAGTTCGAAAATACCTGGATACCATTATGGATGTCCTGCTGAACATTACAGATTTCCGTAAACTCGATCACATTCATAATCATTTCGTTTTGATTTGGGACAATTAATAAGTAACAAACCCAGATCAGCTGTTCGTGCCATTCACATGTCAGAGTTTCAATAGCTAAATGAAAAGTGCTCACAGTGAAAAAGACCATTAATGCGGCAAAGGAAAAAGGCTATTATAATATCTATATAATAATATAGATATTGGTTTTTGTTAGGAGTAATTTAATATCGACATTAGTGTGTGGTAATAAAAACATAACTGGTCTCTTTCTGTCTTATTGATCTGAGTTTCTAAACAGTTAAAACTTTCTTTCAACCAATTTCTGAGCAAGAGCAATGCAACGAAAACATAAAAGAATAAAATAACAGATCACTCAATACTGTGAAAATATATATTTTGGATTAGATGGGGTCCGCAAGATAAACAGGGACTTAACTTACACATACGAACACGTAGACTTTATAATACAAAATGATATGCATCCGAAATTAAAGAGTTTGGTGTCACACAATAGTTTATTTAGTTTTAATTATAGAACGCCATGCTTTGTTCAAAACACAATATTAGATTACATTTTATTTAAATTTAGCTTATAGATCCAAATACATAATCTTCGTAGCGGACAGAGCTCCACAAAAACTCAAAAAGCTGGCGGTACTTATAACAGATGTAGTTGTTCCAGATATTTTAATTATTGTGCCCATACATAATGATAAAATGAATTGGGCTAAAAAGACCATGCTACTTATAATGGCAATATCAGTACCCAATCCACGTGATCCTGATCCAACTTTCGGAGATCCATTTTCATGTAATTCAAACTGAAAAGAGAAAATTCACTTTTATGAAAAAACAACCAGACTTTAGAATTTGAATAATAAGACGAAGAAAACTTCGGCAATCCGAAGTTTATATACCATTGCAGCAATTGTAAAAATTAAACATTCCTTAAAATATATAAGTTTTTAATTATAAGCGTTAACTTTTGGACGTTGATGCACTATGGTCAGTACAAACAGGTGGGCCTTACGTTAGAACGAGATCCCGAGAGCGGACAAGAAGGAAATTCATAGGAAATTAATTAAAAATCATGAATATGAGCAAGTTTACGGATATCTTTAGTGCTCAGCAGGTCATCCATAATGCTATCGCTGCATTTGCCAACTTGGGCGACAAGAAAAGGAAGCTGATTGTAATTTTTGAAGGGTTTGCAATGGAGGTAGTTTCTAAAATAGGCAAGGATCCCCGTATATGTGGGAGTTATTTCCTGCTAGAGATCCAGCAGTAATGCAATGTGGTACTTTTTTATACTTTTATAAGAAAACTTTAAATTTATTTTGTTTTAATGATTAGCACACTGTTACCAAACTGGCAGCTAAATCTAATCTGTTTATACAATATAATTAAATACTAAGTCTGATCGTTGATTAGGGCAGGAAGTAAGTTCGTGATTTTGATATTAATATTGCGGGTGGTGAATAAGCTACGTCAAAATCCGGTGCATTGTGGTACTGCGAGCAGAGTTTGCAGCGTGTTCTCTTGTTTTCCGTCATTTTTATACAAATTAGATTATATATTCGAAAGCAATCCGAACAAAATATCGTTAAACATCGGTATTTTCCGGTATATTCCGGAATTTTTTCTAAAAACGTTCGTGGCGAATGGTTTTTTAAGATAAGATAAGTGCTTTCAAAACTGGTAAAGAGTCGGTAGAAGAAACGATGTGATAGAGTTTGTTATAGTCATTACATATTACTCTAAAAGGCTCATGCATATCATAGTTTGATTAACAATGGCTTAAGATAACAGGAATATAGTTCCTGGTGATTCTATTAGGCACAGAGAAATGTAGGCGACCCAGTAACTCGGGACTCTAAGCTTCTCCGTGAATAAGTATACGAACAAAAGTAATACCAATCATATTTCTACGACTAGCTAAAGTCAGTAAACTAATTAGAAGAAGTCTACTAGGGTAAGATGGTAAGATACGGTTTTCATTCCAATTAAGGCCTCGTAGAGCAAGTAGTAAAAAGTTCTTTGCACAGATTCTGTCCGGTCAATGTGTATACTCTATAGGGGACTCTAAACTGGTGAGCAATACTCCAGAATTGGACGCATTAATGAAATAAACAAAGTTTTTGTAACATATGGATCATCAAATTCCTTATACCACCTTTTTATAAATCCAAGCACACCCCTGGCTTTTTTCACCATGGATGAAATATGGTCAGAAAATTAAAGTTTTGGGTCCAAAAGGACGACAAGGTCATCAGTATGTCTTATTTTAGTCAACTCGCAACCACCTAACTTATACGTGGCATAGTGTGGGTTGACCCGATAAAATGTCATTGATTTGCTTTTGGTGCTTATATTCCCATAGATTTGCAGAACACCATGTTTGAAAAGCATTAAGGTCCGTTTGTAAATCTGAACAGAGGGAAATATCGCTATGTTGCAAGCATAACTTGACGTCATCTGCATACATAAGGACACGCGACTTTGTCAAAACTAAAGTCAGATCGTTAATAAATAGTGTAAAAAGAAGCGGACCCAGGTGGTTGCCTTGTGGGACGCCTGAATTAATTTGGATTATTTTAAAGACGGAGCTTTTAAAGAAGACTCGTTGTGCCCTACCACTTAGATAACACAAAATCCATGTTACAAGATCATTTAAAAACCCTAATAAGTTTATCTTCCGTACAAGAAGAGAGTGACTTACAGAATTAAACGCTTTATTAAAGTCAGTGTAAACGACGGTTGGTTCTAAGAGGTTTGTTGGAACTTGGATTATTTTAGAGACAGAGCTCGTTGTGTCCTACCACTTAGATAACACAAAACGCAATGAAGGTTATTTCTGAAGCCATTTAATAGCTAATCGACCTACAGAGATGTTGCAAGTGGAGGGTAAAAATGTTTTCGAAAAGCTTGGAAGCGGAAACCGTTGATGTTTATTGGAGTTAGGCGGATAGTGTAACGGAACGTACTTTTCGAAGAAGGAGTTCAATGCATTATAAAAGATATTAATGGCCTCAGCCATGTTAGTGTATGATTAAAGTTCGGACCTGTCGAAGTTAAATATATACAAATATTTAAGCGACCAAAGTTTGTCTTACGAAAGCAGTAAATTCATTTAACAGTCTTTCCAAAATGTTCCTTTATCTCTTTTTCTGCATCAATAGTCAGCACTAATGCTGGGTAATAGGGATCTTCAGGTTGAGTAAGTGGCAACGTTCTTAAAACACAAACGCCTTCTGAATTTGACACAAAAAAAATCAGTAAACGGCCAAGGAATTTTAAACATGGTTTACTTGAGATAGTGCAATGTCAAGTAAGCCGTCCGTAAAATTATGCTGCGCAAAAGGAAGTAAAATATTTGTTTTTTCATCCGGGGACCAAGTCACATTAGGTATGTTTAAATCACCTAAAATTATTAACTGATCTCACTCGGACAGTTTATTACAAATGGACTGTATTACGGAAAGGTGGTTCGCATAAATTGGAAACTCAGATAATGGCCGTATATATGAGCAAGTCATATAAATAAAACTACCGGGGAACGATAATTTTATACCCAGAATTTAGATGTCATTCATTTCATTAAAAGTTATTAACTCGGATGTGTAGCAAGCAGTCATACACACATGTATATACACACCTACACTTAAGTATTAAAGATTTTATTGTACATAAATACTCTAAGCTAAGTTCCACAAATCTTGGTCCTCAAGAACTAGTGGGATGGTTCGAAGGGAGGCTTAGCTGAGGCCACCAGGCGGGTCGCAGGTTGCGGATAGCGAACGGCCTTCTGGGAAGGTTAGTTGCGAATAATCGGAAGCAAATGAGCAACTCCAGACAAACAGCGGGAATACCGATGAAGGTATACCGACAAGACGCTTGTTTGGCCGTCTTAACACCGTAGCCTTACACACCCCTCCCTCACAATTACATACCTCTAATCTATCCCCCCACATCTCACCTCGGTGCCGGACTATGGTGTCATTCGACCCGTGCCGATAGTCAGCCTGGCGGGGGGTTAACAAATAGCGCAGTGGCAAACGGAGGGTTCAGGCAAGTGGCGACCGCCTGTCTTAACTACGCCTTACCCGGGTACGGCGGATCTCGGCCCGGACGGACTATATACTTTTCCGCAACTCGTAGGACCCCATGAAGAAAAATAGGAACATAAAAATCCCGGGGTCGCAGGACACTTCGAAGACAGATCCCTTGACGGCGACAGACCCCAAGCGGCAGCGCACCCGCCTAGGACCAGCAGCCAAGGCGAGAAGACCTGCGCCGCAGTCATTGCCAGCCAGGGAGCGTGGTGTGCCAGCAGGAGCTACCCTGCGTATAATAGGCCAACCTTTATCAGACAGCTGAAGAAGCAGGACGCTCTTCCAGCCCTAGGACAGCCCGGAGGACTGGACGACCCCAACAGGCGTGGCCTGCCAGGGTCGAAGGTAAAGTGGTACCTTAGGTATCTCATGCAGGGCATGACACCGGAGGAGGCCACAGGTAGTGGTTGCATTCTTAATAACAGAGTGCCCCTAATACTCAACCCTAGGGATGAAATGACAGCCGAATTAATCTTCGAGCAAAACTTCACAGCACACCTAGGAACTGAGAAAGATTGGACCACATTGTCTGAAGTGCACCCTATGGCTACACACACCATAACGTGGTACACAGAAGGATCCCTGACACAACAAGGCACGGGCCTTGGAGTGGTATGGCCTCGCATAAAATACCACGAATCCCTTGGCCAATATACCAGCATATTCCAGGCTGAGGTATGTGCCATTGGACGTTGTGCAGAGCTCAACATACAGCGTGGATACAAGGAAAAGGACATATCGATCCTTTCGGACAGCCAAGCAGCAATTACTGCTTTACATAGTAACAAAATCACCTCGAAGCTAGTCTCAGAGGTGAAGAGTAAGCTAAATATATTGGGCAGCCGAAACAGGCTGGCCCTCAGATGGATTCCGGGACATAAAGATATATTTGGAAATGAACTTGCCGATAAAATGGAAAAACTAGGAGCCGAACAGGACCAGAGCCCTACCGTGGTATAGGGAGACACACTATAAAGGAAAGAGGAAGGCGCCATGAGGCAAGAACACTGGAGAAATACCCCAGGCCTAAGGCAAGCCAAAACTCAAATAAATAACTACAACAAGAAAAGGGTTCAAGGAACTTGCTCAACTAGGGAAAAACGCACTTATGATCGTTACCGGATTATTAACCGGGCACTGCAGACTGAAAAGTCACATAGGTAAGATGGGAATAACCAGCAGTAGAACTTGCAGATTCTGCGACATACAGGACGAAACCTCTAAGCACATCATCGCAGACTGTCCGACATTAGCAAGTATAAGATGGAAAATCTTAGGAACCAGAACTCTTACACCTGAGCTCCTAGTAAGAATCAACCCACTAAAACTCCTCGACTTTATTCGAGGAAGTGGGTTGATATCTGAGCTGTAGGCTCTGAGTGGGGGTACAATAGATCTTACAGGTCGCGGTACACTAAACACCCCGATACTAATAATAAAAATAAGTTCCACAAATATTATATCATCTATATGTCTTTTTTAGTCTTATGCGAAACACATTGTCAACCGAAGCGTTGTGCCTGCCTCGGTCTCGGTCTCGCACGTACGATCGGTTTAGGTTCCACTCTTGTGAAACAGGCTAAGCTTGCACAACTTGGAAAAGAACTCACGTTTGCCGCGACCACTAAATGTACAACACGTTATTGTGCCACCTACAATTTCAGAACAGAGATTATTGCAATTTTTTTTTGTTTTATACTCAGCCCACA